TTTATCGACATCAAATATAACAAACTAGGGTTCAAACTATAGGCAATGTTTTTGACAAACTAAAGTTTTTTTTTTTGGTCAGGACTGATGAAGAAAACCATACAAAAATTCTCTATTTTATTTTTATGGGCGCTTCATTACTTCACACTCAATGTATGAATAGACTTAATCATGATAAGTGCTCCCTCTATTCTTTTTTTTAATCGTGTACAACTTGGACGCACAGAACCTTCCACACACTTCACATGTACACACAAAGAAGAGATTGGGAGGCTCTACAACCTCGAATGGTTTGAACCATGGTGGGTAGCGTCACTCTGTTCAGCCCTATCACTAAACTACAGGCCCATTCGCAATACTCCATCCATTCTAAAATTATAAGACGTTTTGCACTTGGCTGTGCGCTTTGCACCCTGCCGACCAGAGTTCGAACCCCCACAGGGCGGATTTGTTGTCCGGAGGAAGCGCAGTTTATCTGCGCGTTAAAAAAATCCCCTCGTCTGCCCCACGCCAAAGCACAGGTCTAAGGCCAGCCCAGTCTCACGGGAGCTACGGTGTCGCTGTGTATGGATGGGATAGAGGTTCGAAAATTTTCTCGACCTACGTGAAAAGATCTTCTTAAACACAATGCCGGATGCTGTCTTACCGCCCTTTTATTTTTTTGTCAAGGAATGATTCCTACGTTCAGGCTATTTCCTGCTTTTCTACATTTCTATAATAGTTACACGAAGAGTTTCACCTGACACTCTAAAAATATTCTCCAACAATCAAATGTGTACTACGTATCTACTAACACCGTATTCAAGCTTAAGAATTTGACACTACCCTTACCGCCCATGAGTCGAGTTTTTTTTTTAAATAATAAGACGTTTTGAACTGTGGAGCGACAAGACAAGTTGAAGTGTGGAGCGAGAAGAGATTAAGCTAGACACCGGTGACTATTGAGGGAGCAAATGACAGCGGCCGGCCGGTGCGGCGACAGAGGAGATAAGAGAGGATTGCGGGAGCCGGTAGATCGAGACAAGTTTGCTGTATGTACGGTACCTGCATGCCTCGGTGAGGCCGGCGGCGGTGGGGTAACTATTGTACTTTCCAGAGGAAGCACGCGAACGGCGAAGGGTTGTTAGAAACAGAACGGCATTGAACACCGGCGACATGAACACGAGCGGCGGCGAGAGAGAATGAGCGAGCAAGAACACAACGATTTTGGTGCTACCGAAAAGCGCAGCGTTTTCTATCTATCTGTTCTCCTTTTATTGAACTGAAATACAAAGAGCGAAGCTCGTCAAAGCACGCACGACGCGAGATGTGTGCGCGTCCATGCCCACGCACCGCGATCGCCGGCCATGACTGCATGCTCAAGCGCGTGGCGCGAGCGATTCTCACGCCACGGTTCCTACGCGCGCGGCTACCATATTCCGGAGCTCGCGCGCGTGCAGCAAGGAAGAAAAAACATGCAAAGACTAAAATAGGGCCAGGCTTATCTAACATTACTCCTCCTAAGCCTTGCCTAGGTGCTGTACATCTCGGACCCCAATCGACGAGCACAGTTCACAGAAACGCTCTCGCGCCAGGGCCTTGGTCAGAATGTCCGCCAGCTAATATGCAGTTCCAATCGACTCGGTCTTCACCCTGCCATCCTCAACACACTCTCGGATGAAGTGATACCTGACATCAATGTGTTTGCTGCGGTCGTGGAACACATGATTCTTGCTGAGCGCGATGGCGGACTCGTTGTCAATCTTCAAGCTGGTGGCACCGGCCTCTCTGCCTCTGAGTTCTGAGATCAGCCGTGCCAGCCAAATTCCCTGACAAGCAGCTGTAGTTGCAGCTATGTACTCTGCTTCAGAGGACGATAGAGCTACAACCTTTTGCTTCTGAGATTGCTAGTTGACGGGGTTGTTACCAAGGAAGAAGAGGACGCCGGTGGTGCTCTTCCGCATATCAATGTCACCCGCCTGATCGCTATCGCTGTAGCCGAGCAGACGGGCCTCCTCCTCCTTCTTCCTCTGGTACTGGCAGCCATAGTTGAAGGTCCCAGAGATGTACCTGAGGATCCTCTTGACTGCCCCCAAATGCCAGACTGAATATGCCAAGTTTCACCAGAGGAATATGCCAAGTTTCACCAGATATCACAGGGACCCCACAATGCTTCTGTTATGAGTAGGATCAACAGCCGGGGCAGTGCTCAACTTACTAAGTTTCAGGCGTGGTTCCATGGGGGTGCAGGTTGATTTGCACCCAGTCATCCCTGCCGTCTCCAGAATCTTGGCAGCGCATGCGTTCTGGCACAGGGTGATGCCCTCCTCCGATTGGGATACCTCTAGGCCGAGGTAGTAGTGGAGGCGCCCCAAGTCGCTCATCTTGAAGGTGGAGTGCATCTCTGACTTGAATGCGTCGATGTCAACTTGATTGCCGCCTGCGATGATAAGATCCTCGACGTACACACCCACCACGAGGCGACGGTCCCCAGCACCACAGAGGTAGACGGCGTGCTCGGAGGTACTCCTCTGGAACCCGAGCCTGATCAGGGATTCGTCGAGTTTGGCGTACCAGGCTCGTGGGGCTTGCCGGAGCCCGTAAAGTGCCTTGACGAGGTGGAGCACCTTGTGCTCATGGCCCCGGAGGATGAAGCCAGGGGCTGCTCGACGTAGACTTCTTCTTGTAGCACACCATTCAGGAACGCAGACTTGACGTCCATGTGATGGACAGCCCAGCCTTCGCATGCGGCGTGTGCGAGCAACAGCCGCACGAACTCTAGGCGCGCCACGGGAGCGAAGACTTCATCGAAATCGATCCCTTGGCGCTGAACATAGCCCTTGGCGACCAGCCGGGCCTTTTGCTTGGTGACGATCCCGGATGCATCCTTCTTGGCCTTGTAGACCCACTTGAGGCCTATTGGCCGGGTGCGGGGCGGTGGCTCGACCAACTCCCACATGCCACTCGCTTCGATGGAGGTCATCTCATCCAGCATAGCATGGCGCCAGCACTCATGGCGTAGTGCCTCCTCGAGCGAGGTTGGCTCGGCGTCGCTTGCAAGCAGCAGGCGCTCCTCTAGCTCCCGGTCAGCAAGCCCCGGTGGTGAGGCCGGCTCGATCACGTTGTCGACTCGCCAGAACCGGAGAGGTGCGTCGTCGTCGTGGTCGGCGTCCAGCTGTTCGCTGGCTCCAGTTCCCGGCGGTGATGCGAACTCGATGTTTTGGTGTGGCACCGGGCTCGACGTCGCGGACATAGAGCCACTGGCTATAGGGGTTGCTGCGAACAGGTCCACGACTGGTGGAGGTGACGCTGCTGATGGAGCAGGTGAAGCTGAGCCTGGCGCCGAGTCCGCAGCTGGAGCGCGCGTTGTCGCTGCACTTGTGGTGGTGATCACCGCGGGCTCCAGGGGCTCGGTCTCCTCGATGACGAAGTCGCCAGGGTCGACGTCGTGTTCAGCGAACCACGCCCACTATGCCGCTTCATCGAAGATGATGTCACGGCTGATGTGGACGCGTCGGGTCGTCGGATCGTAGACGCGATACGCCTTGGAGCTGGGCTCATACCCGACGAAGATCATGCGCCGGCTGTGGTCGTCCAACTTCTTCTGGTTTGGCGTGGTCACTTTGACATGAGCGACACACTAGAACATGTGGAGGTGGCGCACCGCCAGCGTGCTCCCAGTCCACAGCTCGTACAACGTCCTTCCCCCGATGGCCTTGCATGACGACCAGTTCAGGAGGTACACAGCCGTCACCATGGCTTCTCCCCAAAACACGCCAGGAAGGGACTTGGCCTTCCACATGCTTCGAGCCATGCCCACGATGGTCTGGTTGCGGTGCTCCACGACGCCATTCTGTTGGGGCGTGTACGACGCCGTGAGCTCACGTCGAACTCCGAGGTGGGCACAGTAATCGACAAAGTCCGCCGCGGTGAACTCGCCCCCGCAATCGGTATGCAGGGCGAGCAGCTTCTTCCCGATCTTGCGTTCGGCCGCGGCTTGGATGTTCTTGATGGCGGCATCCTTGCTCGGCAACAAGGCGATCCACATATACCATGAGAAATCGTCGACGAGCAAAAGAAAGTACCGATTGTCGCTAGGTGTCGTAGGCGTGATGGGACCGCAGATGTCGCCGTGGAGAAGTTACAGCGCCTCCGTCGAATGTCCGAGCGCCTTCTGTGGGAACGGCGCCCGGTGCTGCTTGCCGGCGAGACACGCCTCGCAGACCTGCTCCACCTGGCTGAGCAGGGGCAGACCGTGGACCAGCCCCTCTCGCACCATCTTGTGCAGCGCGGCGAAGTTGATGTGGCCAAACTGCGCGTGCCACGTCCAGGCGGCGTCGTCGGAGCGCGTGGCCAGGCAAACTGGGCGTGCTATGGTGACGTCGAGCACGTACAGTCTGCCTGGACTCTATGGGATCTTCGCAAGCAGGCGGCGCTCCTTGTCGCGTATGCGCATCACGCCTTCCTCCACGAGCACTTGGAAGCCGCCTTCATTGAGCTGGCCGACGGAGATGATGTTGGCGGTGAGGCGCGGTAGGTAGTAGACGTTGGGAAGCGACCGGTTCTCCCCATTCTTGCAGGTGAAGAGCACGGTGTCACTCCCTACGATCTGCGCGATGGAGCCATCGCCGAACCTGACAGAGCCGATGATGCCGGTGTCGAGATCGGCGAAGGCAGCCTTGGACCTGGACATATGATTGGAGGCGCCGATGTCCAAGATCCATTGCCTCGGATTTGGATCTGCGTCGGAGTCGAGGGCGGCGAACACCTTGCGCTCGATGAGGTGGAGGGCAGGGAGCGCCGCCGGTGTAGAAGTTGAGTGCAGCGTCGGCGGCGGAACTGGTGACGGCGCATCGGAGGGGAACGAGGCGATGGCCATCATGAGTGTGGCCTCCTCCTCTTGGGCCACATGGGCCTGCTCCTCCCTCTTTTTCTTGCGGCAGTCACGGGCCCAATGGCCTTTCTTCCTGCAGTGCTTGCAGGGCTCGTCTGGAACAGGCCGGCTCGAGTTGGAGCCGGACCTCCCTTCGCCGTTGCTGCCATTGCCGCGTCCCCGGCCTCTGCCATGGCGCCGGCCACGATCGCCGGAGCTAGAGCCACCGCGGCCGGACTCTTGGCCCTTCTGCTTGTACCGCTCGGCCCACTGCTCTTCGGTGAGTAGCAGTTTGCCATAGCGGTTTGCGGCGGAGGCGGCGTGACATCATCGGCCGCCTTCAATCTCCCTGTGACCTCCTCAATTGAAAGCTGAGAAATGTCGAGAAGGGTCTCAATGGAGATTACCAACTGCTTGTAGCGTGGGCGGACGACGCGCAGGTACTTGGCCACCACCTTCTCGTCGGGTTCCGGGTCACCCAGCGTCGCCAGGCACTGCACGATGCCAGTCATGCGCAGAGCGAAATCCTCGATGGGTTCTCTATCGCGGAGGGCGATGGACTCGTACTCCGCCCGGAGGTTTTGTGCAGTCGCCTTCCGCACCCGATCATCGCCGATGCCGAAGGTCTTGATGGCCTCCCAGGCCTCCTTCGCAGACGCCTTGGCCACCAGGATGGGGACCATCTCCGTCGGAACGCCGCTGCAGATCGCGTCGAGCGCGCTGCGATCGTCGTCGTAGTCCACGTCGTCATACTCGACGGCGTCCCACAGGTGGCGCGCCTGCATTTTCAGCTGCATGCGAAGCGACCACTCATGGTAGTTCGTCTTCGTCAACTGCGGCCAGTTGTCGGAGCTGCCTTCCCGGATGATTCGCTCGACGACGACTTCCCGCGGACGGCGTGCGTCGCGCGTGCGTGAACGGCAAGTAGGGGAACGGGTCGGCGAAGGCGTGCGCTGCGGCGTCTTGACGCCTGAGCCGCTGGAACCATCGTTCTTCTTGGGGTCATCCTTCTTCCCGGCCGGTGAACGGCCACGAGATCTCGTCGGAGACACCATGGCGACGGCGGGATTCCTCGCAAACTAGCTCCGATGCCACTTGTTAGAAACAGAACGGCGGTGAACACCGGCGAGATGAACACGAGCGGCGGCGAGAGAGAATGAGCGAGCAAGAACACAACGATTTTGGTGCTGCCGGAAAGCGCAGCGTTTTCTATCTATCTGTTCTCCTTTTATTCAACTGAAATACAAAGAGCGAAGCTCGCCAAAGCACGCACGACGCGAGATGTGTGCGCGTCCATCCCCACGCACCGCGATCGCCGGCCATGACTGCATGCTCAAGCGCGTGGCGCGAGCGATTCTCACGCAACGGTTACTACGCGCGCGGCTGCCACATTCCGGAGCTCGCGCGCATGCAGCGAGGAAGAAAAAACGTGCAAAGACTAAAATAGGGCCGGGCTTATCTAACAAGGGTCACCGTGCCCGAGCGGCCTCGGGTCGTTCCGGTCCACGCAGCCATAAAGCCGATGAACCAGCGCACGGATGGTCAGCGCGCTGGCCGCCTCCAGCGATAGGTTGGCCGCCCCGAAGCGGCAAGCCACCTCGCCGCCGCCGTTGTCCTCCATTGGCGCGCAGGAGCAAGAGTGCGGGTGCCTGCGCGTACAGCGGCGCGGCGTACTCACTCGTTGCAGGCCAGGCGGCAGGCGCGGTTGCCCAGCGCACTTGTGTACATATTCAGATAAGCCATGGCTACCTCTTTGACTCTTTCTCGTCCTTGGCACAATGATGTAGCACGTGACAAATAGGTTATCATTTCATAATTTTCAATCCGAAGATGTTGCTAGATGTTAATGAGTTACTCAATACTCACTCCGTTCAGTTTTATGCCGCATTAGTTTTATCCTAATTGAAACATTTCTAGTTTTGATCATTAATTTTAAAAATTTTATATACGTTATTAACAACATAAAATTTATGTTTTCAATTTATTATGACAATTACTTTCATAATATATAATATACATAGTGTGAAACTACATGGATCTGAAAATATTTAGCTTAGGACATAGCTAACACGATAAGCTAACTAAAAAAGAACGCAGGGAGTATAAAGGTGATTGTGTGTGGTTGCTTTGGAGAATTTTGGCTCGATCATCAAAAATTATGATCCCATAGTGTGTGATTTATAGGTTAAGTACGGCAGAATAGTTATTTTGATCCCTCAATTATCGACTTAAGCTTAATTTTATCCCTAAACTTTTGAAATGACTGTTCCGGTCCTCAAAATTTTTCTTTGGACTTAATTTTATATTAGGACTATTAAAGTGACTGTTCCGATCCTCAAACTTTGCAATTTTTTGAAAGTTATCAAACTTTGCATTTTGGGCTTGATTTCATCCATAAACTATCAAAGTGTGTTTTTAGTCTTCAAACTTTTCTTTTCAGCTCAATTTTATCCCTTATTCTAGTAGATCGCATCACTATTCACGCGTCCAGCACTGCCTACGATTGAAGATAAAAAAAATAATATTCAAATAAAATATCATTAGTGGACTATCTGAATACTCTTTGTGGCCATTAATAATCTTAATGCATTATTTAAATGTTAACTTGTAATGGCACATATCCTACTGCATTGCTTTTGTCGTAGATTTGGAGAAACTACAGCTCTATAAACGCTATTTAGTACATTGAGAATACATTGATGAATTAGAACAACAGTAGATCTAGAGTTTTTTTTTCTTTAGGTATTTATAGCGTAAGGCTCAAATAATAATCAATTGCAAAAAACTCTGTTTTTGTCTAGCTAAAATAATATTTAGTTATTGAAATGAAAAAAATAAATTATAATTAAACAATATGATATCCGAATTGGAGACAAATCCATTCGATTATTTATACTCGAGGATATTTGGATCTATATTTATATTCATTCTAAAACACGGATATCGTAAGGGCGTGTTTGGTTATACCTGTAAGTTGCCAAAACATGCCACAATTTTTTTTTGCCAAAACTGTGGCGCCCGTTTTGTTAACTACCGTACTTGTGGCATGCCACAGTGCGACTGTAGGGTCGTAGTTCAAATTCTACGCCACATGCTGCCAAAACCTTGGCGAGAAAATCCAACGCCGCAGTTTTAGCGTCGCCCCTCTTTGTGGCTCGGTGTGCGTAGGCATAAGCCAAACAGACCTTAGTGTGCTAGCCGATTCGAAAGCTAGGTACGTGCTAGGGATCATCTCAAATTGAGGGTAGTCCCAATTAAAATTGGCTAGGCATGACATCGCAACATTCTATGTAGGATAAGAGACGAAGTTTGAGGTGAATAGAAAAGTTCAAGGACTAAAATGCACTTTGGTAGTTCATGGATGAAATTGAGCCTAAAATACAAAGTTTACAGACTAAAATAGTCACATTAATAATTCTTGGATGAAACTTTGCTTAAAAGAAAACAAAATAAAGACTATAATGACCATTTTAAAAGTTCAAGAACAAATTGAGTCTCCTAGTGTAGTTGTTAGATGCATGTAATGGATTCGGCCTGCTCGTTATACCTATGAGTCAGCACCATGACAAGTCTAGGTCCATCAAAGCCCACAATCAACCAAGGCCTCAGGCCTATTTCAACATAAAAGACTAGTCTGGTAGATGAATGTTATCTTGTCTTATATGTGATGTTACCCCAACATCAATTACAGACAACATCACGATGCAGGAGGATTACTGGGCCTAGCACTATGAGAATTTCGGGATCTTCTCAATTCGATCAGCCTACCGTTTACTAGTGAGGAACCGTGAGGCGATGGCAGCATGGGCTAAGGGGAGGCCGAGTAGGTCTGATGTCGGTGCTTGGGAGAAAGAGTGGACCGAGCTGTGGAGGATCAAAGTCCCATCAAAGGTTTTGATTTTTCTGTGGAGATTGGCTAGCATCTCCATCTCGACGGGAGATGTGCACACCATAGAAACATGGCTTCAGATAGGTGCTGCATGTTGTGTGGTGCAGCTGATTTGTCGAGTCATGCTCTATTGGATTGCAATCTTGCCAAATGTGTCTGGGCTCTTGAGAGGGAGGATATTACCAAGTTCTCGAGCTAGGTACAATGCACGGATACTCGGGCTTGGCTAGCAGAAGTTATGAGTTCACTAAAGCATGAAGAAATCACGAGGGTGGTTGTCTGACTGTGGGCAGTGTGGTACGCGAGATGCAAAGCGATCCATGAGAACCAGTTCTAGAGCTCATTCTCGACTCACAGCTTTGTCGAGCGATTTATTGGGGAGCTTGCGGAGATCAAACAAGGGAGCTCGGAGGTGTGTGTTGCAGGATCCACGGTGGATAAGACCTCCAACAAGAGGGTTGATGAAGATTAATGTCGACACGACAATGTCCAAGAATCCTGGTCAGGCAGCCGCAACCGTTGTGGCTTGAGATGAGGATGGCTACTTCCTCTTCCCTGGTGATGGAAGGATACACCGACGTGTTGAGGTGGTCGAGGCAGTAGCATGCAATGAAGGGCTTGCCTTGGCCAGTAATCTTGGCTTTCACTCATTCAGGGTTGCGAGCGATTATGCCAACACGGTGAGAAGCATCCAGGGTGAGGGGTTCGGCAGGTATGGACCCATAGTTTGGGAGATCAATGCTAGCAGAAGGAGCTTCACAAGAGAAGATTTTGTTTTCGAAGGACTGAGATCAACTCTTTGGAAGGACCCCAGCATTACAACTCTGAGCAAGTGTTGGTATTTCTTATGTCTATTGGATAATTCCGCAAGTGCACATAAATACTACTGTAGCAATTCACCCGGGAGTGTTCCAAGGCATCGTTATTTATTTTATCCCAAGGGAAAGTGGTAGCTAGAAATGATAATAAAAAGAGAGATCCTTATATATATACCACAACTTAGCACCAACTAGTATAAGGGGGGTAAATGAAATATGGAAGGAAGGGATGATGCAAAAAGCCAAGATAAAGATGATAAAAAGATAACTAGTAAAGCATAGCTTGGTGGGAGGACAACGATTGAGTAAAGGATTCCTGTTGAGAATTACCCCATGAGGACAACGAGTGAGTAAAGCATAGCTACGTGGGAGGACAACTAGTGTACTATGGACTAACCACATGTGTATCTCACATAAATCACATTAGTCCACCTATAGTTGTCACTAAATTACCGAAACCAAACCGAGGCTTTCAGTAGGGTGCCCCTGATGAGAAAATCCTACTAGATCATCAATCCATAGATACATAGTTGCTATCCCCTACTCGCAACCAGCCCCCAGCGCATGGGACACAACAAGCAAAAATGTTCCTCATCTATATTAGATGTAGGGTACCCCATATTTGAGCTAGTATATAAATATGTGTTGTATGTGCTGCCCCTATATATGATATACTATGTGTTATACATTGATTACTAGTCAGGATGTAAAAATGACAAGTCGTAGGGCTACTAGAGGTATCTATTAGAGGCTCCCTAACTTGCCTTATATAGTATATGGGCAGTGTTATAGAGAGATCATATCATCATTCGTTTACTGATATGTTTCTTAGTTTACTGCAACAAGATCCAAATGAACGGTTAACATGCATATCTATCGTCTATACCTTGCATATATCAAGTAAACGAGAGACCCTCAAATATACGTCGCCTCTAGCTAGCCGGCTTAGCCCACCCCTGTACAAGGGGCGGCTTTGACCTTCGTGATGATACCTATGGGCCATGTACTCACCAGATTTTGCAGAAAAGTGGATGAACTTTTTATTTGGTGTGTCCTTATATTTCTAGTGAAATATTTTAGTTCTTAGCATGACAAAATATGGAAAAACTTTTAACTATGCTAGCGGCTTTCAAGGAAAGGTGCATTTACTTGTCATTATTGTTTCCCAAAAGTTCGCTCTAGTTGGCATTTTAGTCCCTAAAGCCACAAAGTGTCACACACTTCGGGTTTTGGTTATTCTAGCGGTTTTCCAAGGAAAGTGCATTTACTTGTTTTCATTATTTTCTATAATTTTAATTGTCATTTTAGTTCATAAAGCCATAAATTATTACAAACTTCTCATTGTGCC